CTTTAAATCAATACGTTGAGGAAAAGTAGACAAAATTATTAGCAACTATAATATTGAATATTAAAAAATTCAATTCTTCTTAAAAAAAAATCTTAATTCAATATCAAGCTCTACAAGTGTTGATTTTATATCTAAATCGATGAATTATTTACATTACCATTCCAATTTATTTGTAGTCTGTCATTTTTGTTAGCATAAATTCACAATATACTATTAAATTCTATTATAAAACTTAAACAAAAGTAATAGAAAATCAATATTTTTTTAAAAGATTATGAATTGCACTTATCATATTTAAAACTAAGTTTCATTCATATGTATAGCTTCTCACAAGTGTTAGTACTAAAGGAAACTATGTGCTGAATGCCTTTATGACCATGGAGTGGATGTGATCAAGCAAACAGTTCCTATTGATAGATTTGGAGCAATGGTTATTAAGAAACTAAAAGAATCAAAATTAGAAGAGACATCTGAATTAATCCAATAAAGAATGAATTTCAAATCCATTTTTTCAAAAATTGAGATTATGATGAAGAAAATTTGGGAAGAATCAGCACAATCAATAAAAAAAATATATGATATGATTGAACATGAAAATAAATAATACATTAATCTGATCTATGATAATAGGAATCTAGCAGAATCCTCTTATAATAACTTAGAAATTTTAGTATCAATCTTAGAAGGAAATACATTAGATTCATGGAATGTCTAAAAAAATTTGTAGTTGAAAAAACTAGAAAAGGCAAAAAATTGGTTGAGCTAAGAAGTTAACGCTTTTAATGAAAAGATAAAGAATGAATTGGATTAATTAAATATAATTGGTTAACCATAGTTATCAAATTTTGTTTAAGAAGTGAAATCATAAATTAAAACTAAAATGAGAGATAAAATACAAATTGAATCATAAGAAGAAGAACAACATTAATAATAATCATTAATAAACTAATAATAGTAATTTTAATAACTTCAATAACAAAATCAAATCAAATCTCCATCTTAATTCAATCTGAAACCATTTAATTATTAGATAATTCAAAAGAATTCTATTAAATAAGATGAATGGTGTTTAGCAGTTGATCTTAATAAAGATGGTTCAATTTTAGCAGCTGGATGTAATACAGAAATTAAAATATATGAATTCAAATAAGGAATGTTGAAATTAAATCAAATCTTAAATAAACATAAAACTAATGTGTACATATTAAATTTTATGAAATAATCAAATTAGTTGATTTCTGGAGATCAAGGAGGATCAATTTTAATTTGGTCATATAATAATAATTCATGGATATGCTTATAAACTATTAAAGGTCATAGTGATTTTGTTAGATGCTTAATAATGAATAATAAGGAAGATCTGTTTATATCAAGTAGTGATGATAACTCTATTAAGTTTTGGCTTGAGGAAAATGGATGGAGCTGTTAATAAAAAATTTTAGATCATAGTAATTCGGTTTATCAATTAAGTTTAAATGAATAACAAAATCAAGTTATATCTTGTGGAGAAGATAGTTAGATATTAGTAATTGAGCAATCAGAACTTAATAAAAATTGGATTGTAAAATAAAAAATAAAAGTTGATTGCGAAGGATATCGATTATGCTTTATTAACGATAATCTATTCACATTTTAACCTTGTAAAGGAAATTTGATGTATGTCTATGAAAAGAATAGTATAAGTAAATAATTCACTAAGTCAAAAAATATTACTATTAATCAAAGTAATTAATTTTTAGGTGGATTATTTCCATAATAATTTATTAAATAAAATAATTACTTGTGAATAAGCATGATAACTATGTAAATTTAATAAGATTTACATAAAATAATCAGTTTAAAGTTGAATAATCTATTCAATTTGGTATGCATTTATATATGGATAAATGAGTGATGATGGAGAATATTTGATTACTTATGATGGTGCTTCAAAAGAAATATAAATAAGGAGATTCATAGAAAAATGAGATAAATATTATATTAATTTATTTGCGAAAATGTTTTATTTTCATTTTTAGCAACAAAAAAAATTAAATAGATTCTTTGTACACATTTCAATTAAAAAATCGTTATTGTCTAATATTGAGTAATAATTTTTCATCATTTTTTTCTTCATTAGGAATAGAACATTATTTTTAGTAGCAATTAAAATTATGAAATTTATAGTTTTCTTAATAATATTGATATTAATTAAATAGCCTTAAAGCCAAGACCAAAATTTACAAATTTTATTATTACCTAAGTTTTCTTTTTGACTCACAGATTTGACTAATAGTATAGTAAGTAAGAATGAAATAGTTTTGCCAATAAAATATTATTTATCTTTAAGGAATGAGAATATAAATTTAGAGTAGAGAATAGAAAAAGCTCAGATAGGCTCTTTTAGATAAAAGTAGAATATGAAGAAATTTTTGTCAAAATTATTGTAATATAAATATAGAATGGCAACATGGTATCTATTATTTAAGGAATCATAGAACAAAAAGATTGAAGAATCACAATTGGAGGAAATACATTTAATGAATTGTTCGACATAAGTCATTTAATAAAAAATACCCTCAATAAATTTAGTATTTTATTGAACTTGGAACAAGCTAAATAGGTTTATGTACTCAAAAGACCAATTTTTTGAAAATCAAAATATGATCCTTAAAATATACAATTTTTTATTTTAATGACTTCTAGAACACAAATTATTCGACAACAGGTATGATTCTTATTCATTAAAACACGAACACATAAAATAAAGTAAAATCTGAATAAATTTGATTGTGATTAATTCAGATTGATTTTACTTATAATTTATGAAAGTAATCAAACATCTATTTCATTTAAATAGTTCAATCTAAACTCCTCCTTAATGACTTATTTCTGTTGATCTTCTAAGTAATGATTTTTAATGATTGCTATTCAAGTTTAAAGCTTTATTACAATCTAATAAAGTTAATTATAATCAAAGTAATTTTATTTAAAATTGAGCTCTATTAGAATAAATTAATACAAGTTATTCTTATTCATTTAAGGATTAACTCTAATTTAATTCTTATCTACACTCTCTATATTTTTCTATTCTATTTTATTATTAATATTTTTTTGTTGAGGTTTTTTGTAAACATCCATTAATATAGGTTCATCAGTTTCTTCTAGCAATTTATCTACATCCTCTTTATTCCTTAATTTTTATCTTTTTTCAATTATTTTATTTTTTCTATGACGTTTAGTAAGTTTTAATTTACTCTTTCCAACAATAAGATTATGAATATATATTCATATACTGCTAAATTAAAATTAAATGTTTATAATAATACTCAGATTTAACTTATCTAATTTTTTTGGCAAGTTATATTATATGTTTATCAATAATTATATATCTAAAATTAATGAAAAAAATTAAATAGTTTCTGTTTAATTTTAGATTCTAATATCCATTCAAATAAAGATAAAAATTTTGATATATATACTATAAAATGGTAATTTTATTAACATCTCTTGCCTTTTTGATATTTATGAATAATACGAGATTATCAAATTCAGTTTAATCTTCTTCTTTTCTAGCTTCAGTCAAAGCTACCAATGTGGCTGTCTTTTACTGAGCTAAAGATGCTAATCTTACTTTATTTTAGGATATACATTAATAAATATTGCTTTTTATAAAACCTAATTGAACCTCTTGTCTTCTACATCATTATAGTAACCAAACAACAAATTCGATAAGATAAACATCATAAGCTATAATAACAAATTTAGTTTTTCTATTTCTAAAAGTTTTTTAAAATGGTTTTCATCCGAAAATAAGTACTTATTGTTTATAATTTTTATTTAGCTAATTAAGATAATCTATGGGTATGAATGATTATCAAACAATAAAAGAGAATGGAGTTATTTGGATTCAAATGAATGACTCTGATAGAGATGGTAAAGGAACTCTTGAAGATAATGAATAGCTAGTCTTAGGATTCCTTGAGAAAATTAGGTATTTATTTAGAATGATTATTATATCATTTTTAATATTAATTATTATTATGCTTAACTGTTTATGAATTTGATTGAAAATAATTATTTATTGCCAAATATCAAACAAGGATACAAAAAATTAAAATTAGGAAATTTAAATATACCGCTTTGATTTTAATTTTGCAATTAGATATGTGTTTTCATAAAATTAAAAAATTAATAAATGAAATAGAATTTTAAAATAATTAAAATGTCATAATACCAAAGGATAGATATTTAAAACACAAAAATTGATAT